TAGATTCAATGCAATCCCTATCAAAATTCCAATGGCATTTTTCACAGAAATAGCAAAAACAATCCTAAAATTTTTATGGAACCACAAAAGACCTCAAATAGCCAAAACAACCCTGAGAAAGAACAAAGCTGAAGGCAACACACTTCCTGATTTCAAACTATACTAGAAAGCTATAATAATCAAAACAGTATGGTACTGCCATAAAAATAGACACATAGACTAATGAAACAATTGAGAGCCCAAAAATAAACTCATGCATACATGGTCAGCTTAATATGCAAAGGTGTGGAGAAAAGGGAACCCTTGTGCTCTATTGGTGGGAATGTAAGCTGGTACAGCCACTATGAAAAACAGTATGGAGGTTCCTCAAAAAACTGAAAATAGAACTACCATATGATCCAGCAATCCCACTTCTGGGTATATATTGGAAGGAAATGAAATTGGGATCTTGAAAAGATTGTTGCATTTCCATGTTGATTGCAGAATTATTCACAATAGCCAAGGTGTGGAAACAATCTTAAGTGTACATCCATGGATGAATGGGTAAAGAAAATATGTTATATGTGTATAGTGGAATATCATTCAGCCATGAGAAAGAAGAAAATCCTGCCATGTGCAACAACATGGGTGGACCTTGAGGGCACTATGCTAAGCGAAATAAATCAGAGAGGGGGTCGGCCTGTGGCCCAGTGGTTAAGTTCACACACTCCGCTTCAGCAGCCCAGGGTTTCGCCAGTTTGGATCCTGGGCACGGACATGGCACTGCTCATCAGGCCATGCTGAGGCCGCATCCCACATAGCACAACCAGAGGCACTCACAACTAGAATACGCAACTATATATGGGGGGCTTTGGGGAGAAGAAGAAGGGGGGAAAAAAAGAAGATTGGCAACAGTTATTAGCTCACGTGCCAATCTTTAAAAAAGAAAAGTCTGAGAAGGACAGGTACTGTGTGATATCACTTATACGGAGAATCTTAAAAAGCCAAACTCATAAAAACAGAGAGTAGAATGGTGGTTTCCAGGGAGTGGGGGAAATGGGGAGATGTTGGTCAAGGGGTACAGACTTCCAGTTATAAGATGAATAAGTTCTGGGCATCTAATATACAGCATGGTGATTATAGTTAACAGTACTGTATTAAATACTTGAAAGTTGCTAAGACAATGAATGTTAAATGATCTCGCTACAAAAAAAGAAATGGTAATTATGTGAGGTGATGGAGGTGTTAACTATCCTTACTGTGGTAATCATTTCGCAATATATAGGTATATCAAATCAACACATTGTACACCTTAAACTTACATAATATCATATGTCAATTATATCTCAGTAAAGCTGGAAAAAAAGATTGCAAAGGAAGAAGTAAAACTATCTCTATTCACAGATGGCATATTATTCATAAGAAGTCTTAAAAAATTCATAAAAAACCTTATTAGACCTAACAAACGAATTTAGCAAAGTTACAGCATACAAGATCACCACACAAAAATCAGTTGCGTTTCTATACACTAGCAATGAACAAATCTGAAAATGTAATTAGGAAAGCAATTCCATTTATAATAGCATCAAAAAGAATAGAATAGTTATGAATAAACTTAACTAAGCAGATGTAAGACTTGTACACTCAAAACTACAAAACATTGTTGAAAGAAATTAAAGAAGACCTAAATAAAGGGAAAGACATGTGCTCATGGATTAGAGGACTAATATTGTTAAGATGGCAATACTCCCCAACTTGTTTTACAGATTTATTGCAATATCTATTAAAATTCCAACCTCCTTTTTTGTAGAAATGAACAAACTCATACTAAAATTCACATATGGAATTGCAAAGGATCCCAAATAGCCAAGACATTTTTGAAAAAGAACAAAGGTGGAAAACTCACCTGATTTCAAAACTTACTGCAAAGCTAGAGCAATCAAAAGATTGTGTATCTGAAACAAGGGTAGATATATTCATCAGTGGAATAGAATTGAAACTCCAGAAATAAACCATGGGTTTATTCTATGGTCAGTTGCTTTTCAAAAAGGATGCCAAGACCATTCAGTGAGGGAAAGAATAGTCTCTTCACATACGGTGCTGGGATACCTGGATATCCACTTGCCAAAGAATAAAGTTGGACCCCAACCTCACACCATATACAAAAATTAAGTCAAAATGGATCAGATACCTGAATATAAGGGCTAAAACTGGGCCGGCCCAGTGCGTAGTGGTTGTTTGCATGCTCCACTTCAGCCACCCAGGGTTAGCAGGTTCAGATCCCAGGCGCCGACCTAACCTATACACCATTCATCAAGCTACCCTGTGGCAGCATCCCACATACAAAATAAAGAAAGATTGGCAGAGATGTTAGCTCAGGGACAATCTTCCTCAAGTGAAAAAGAGGAAGATTGGCAACGGATGTTAGCTTGGGGCAATCTACCACCCTTCCCCCAGAAAAAGCTAAAGCTATAAAACTTTTAGAAGAAAACACTTGGAGAGTTTAGCTGTCTAGTTACTGCTCTCTTATAGCACTTTTGTACTATGGTGTGGTAGACTTCAGTGACTGCATGCTCCTGTGGGTTAAGATTATCTTTTCATCAATCTGTCTCTAGTACTTTGTACAGAGTTGGTACTCAGTAAATTCTGCTGACCACATGAATGGGAAAGACAGTGACAGTTTCAGCCATACTCAGGTTTACCAAAAAGATTTTAGATTGTCAGAAACTACTTTGGGTGTTCTTGTTGTATGCTTGAGTGCTGCAAGTGTGAGTTTCCTCCCTGGGCCTTTTCTTTCGCCAAAGTGGAATTTAGGGGGCATGTGAAGAGGTTCTCCCCAGCAAAAGATAGGCGTCATTTGTACATCTGATAACTTAGGCATGTAACCAGTGTCTTTAAATTTGACTTGGTTACTACTGACAAAATGGACTCATAGTCTGTTTTTTAAAATTATATTAATTATGGAAGGTTTGGACCCTAAAGTATAGGTCCAGCTTCAGTTTGAATACCTGTAATGACATGGAGCTCAGTACCTTCCAAGGTAGCTATCAGTAAACAGCTCTGACTATTGAAAGTTACAAAGTTCTTTCTTATGTTGATCAGAAAACCTTTTCCTCTAAGTGTCTACTTGTTTCTCCAATGGAATCATGCCAAACAAGTCATATATTTGAAATGATAATGCTGTCTTTTTCAGCTCTATATTCATTCGTCCTGACCCAAAGTATATGTTATTCACCTCAGCATTTTAATCTGCCATCCAGTTTACTTCTAGGTGGCTTACACCAATGACAGTTTGTGTGAGTTCTTGGAATGCAAATGAATTTTGATACTATTCTAGGTAAAATACAAATGAAGCTGACATCTAAGCACCTGCCTTTACAGGATGATGTTGATGTTTCTTGCCTGTTCTAAGATACATCTCCCAGTAGATAATACAACTCTCACATTATTTGTTGAGGTTCAGTGTTGAATGTTCTTGGTTAAGTGCAGACATGTGATGCAAGTTGGCCACCACTTTCTCCTATTAATACCATAATATAGATTATCAAATTGGAGCCATCTAGGAGGGTGATGTGACCAGCAGACATAGGATGAGAGAGTTTCGAATGGGAGGAATAATACAGAAATTCTGGAATGGAAGCCATTGTGGGTAGGTAGGGCAGGTTTTGCTAGAGATGTAGGGAGAAGAGAGGCAGCACCCTGGGAATGTGCCTTATTACCTCCTTTATAAGTTTTCTCTGAGCTAATCCTGGCATGGTAAAACATTAAATGTAAATCTTTTGCTACAAAGGAGTAGATACGATGTGTTCCATTTCAAAGCTAAATAGAATCATTCAAGGAAGTAATTTCTGTTTGGGATCATCTGCATGGCCATGTGTCCACCTTGACTTCTGGCAAATTCTTATTTATCCTTAAAAATACATATGCCTCAGGAAGTCTTTCCCAACCCCATTCTCACTCCATCCCAGGTAATTAATAACTCTCTCTTATGCCATTCTGTCTCTTAGGCATACTTTTTTTGTTGTAACATTTCACTGTATCATACTGTAATATTTATTTGTCTGCCCAACTGGACTCTGATTCCTTGAAGACCTAGATTGTATCTCATTCTCCTTTGTATTTATTCCCAGCGTCTAGATAGTGCTCATTGGTGACTGACTTATAGTAAGTGTGTAATAAAAGCTTGTTGAATAGAATTATAGCACAGGTGAAATATCAGTGGCAAACATTCGTAAAAGCATTTTTCTCACGAGGTGTCTATTAGGCAAAAGTTGGAGAGTAGGAAACAAAGGTGAGTAATAAGATAATCAAGACCCCCTGTTTACAGTCTCTGGAGCAAATGACAGTCACCTGCACATAATTCTTACGCAGTAAGATTAATGTTAGAATACTGCTTCTGTGGGTTTTGGTTTGGGTTGCAAAGTCATAACGTAATTCATGCATAAGATTAAATAATCATGTGTTCTTGAAGTCTCTTAAATCACCAGGATTTAGGCCTTTGGAAGCTCAAATTTAATGGATCAAGGGAGAAGAGACTACATTTAATTTTGACTCCCTACATAAAAATCTAGTGTACTGCTATGCATTTTTGTAAGTACTTAAGTATGTGTTTCATGGCTGATTTAGATTGCTTGAGGAGAGGTCTGGGCCTCATAAAAGGAAAAAGTTTGTTGTTTGTAAGGTAATTTAACCCTTTCTTCACCCTATTAAGGCTGGCGAAGTACCCCTACATCTCTCTAAGCTTGAGCAAGACAGCCATTGGTCTTGCGTCATTTATGCAGGGTCTACTTGGAAACAAAGGCTTAAACCAATGTCCTTTCTGGAGAACTCTTTCTCTTTTGACAGCATTTGTTCTTAGAATGTGTTTTGTTAATAAATTAACTCATTTTCTATTGTATCTTCCCAAGGGAATTGTCTTTCTTGGTGAGTGGCTTTGAAAGCACAGAAGAGTTGTTATTCTTTTGCCTTAGCTAGCATATGGACTACTTTTGACTATTTGTCTTTTATTTATTCTTTTTTAGGAACCTGAATTCCAAGGTGGAAAGGAGTCAAAGCTGCAGTGACACTGCTCAGGACAGAGCGAAGAGCAGACTCAGAGCAGCCCCAACCAGCAAAGCCAAAGTATACCTCACATAGGCTTCTGGGCTTTCTAGTCCCATCCCGTAACTATTCCAGATGAGAAGAGGCAGAATGGGTCCTAGGCATACTAGTTATGTTGGGGAATTTTGCAAACAGATGTGAAGGAATTAGAGTTTGAATTAGTAGCCAGATGGGTGGAATGAGGGCCAATGGAACCTTTTTCAAAGTTCTAGATGATGTTTTTTTCCTATACATTTTCAGTTGTATTGTTTCAAATGTGTAGGAATTTCTGCAAATGGTGTGCATTCTAGGTTAGGGATTTTCCCTATCAGGCTCACATCACCCTTTATCCTGTTTCTTACCATTCCCCTCCCTATCCCTCTACCATCATGAAGGAATTATCAAGAAAAAATATATATATATATGTATGTATGTATAATCTTTTTAATCTCTTTCAGGTCACAACTATGACCCCTGCCTCCAACCCCATCATTGGTGTTCTCTTGTCCACTCAAAACAACCGCTGCCTCTCAGCCCCTGATTTGACCATCGAAAAGCGTCTACCCTTCAGCTCCCTCCCATCCTTGGCTTCCCTGCATAAGCCAGAGCGCTCCATCAGCCCTGAGAGCAATGACAGCATCTCTGAAGAACTAAACCATTTCAAGCCCATTGTCTGCTCACCATGTACTCCTCCCAAGAGACTCCCTGACGGCCGCGTGCTAAGTCCCCTCATCATCAAATCAACTCCCCGCAACCTAAACAGAAGCCTGCAGAAGCAGACTTCTTATGAGGCCAGTCCACGGATCCTCAAAAAGTGGGAACAGATCTTTCAGGAGCGGCAAATCAAAAAGACCCTTTCAAAAGCCACCCTCACCTCCCTGGCTCCAGAAACGGGGGAAGACTTCCCAGTCTCTGAGGTTATCCATTCTAACAAAGAGAAGCCACTTCCGGCTTTAAATACAAGACTGTCCAGTGGGCAAGTACTCTCTGAGTATACTGGGCCCAACCCCACTGACCTTGATTATTTCCCCTCTGTTAGCCAAACAAAAACAGAACAGGGCAGTGATAGTAAAAGGAGCACTGAGATCTCATTGGAAACCTGCTCTTCTTCAGAACTCAAAGTGGGAGCCAGTGGGACATCTTTGGAGAGAGAGCAGTTTGAAGGGTCAGGGTCAACCCCAAATGCCAAGTTAGAAAAAACCTGTGTAAGTACAGCCATGAAGATCTCAACAGTTAATTCAGTGCTGCCCAAAAACAGTGTTTTGGGTGGGGTCCTCAAAACAAAGAAACAGCTGAAGACAGTGAATCATTTTGATCTGCCTAACGGTGTTCTGGCAGACAACCTAGGTGAGGAGTCACTCCCTTCCTTGCGTCGGGGCCGGAAAAGACACTGTAAGACTAAGCACTTGGAACAAAATGGCTCCCTTAAGAAACTGCGACAAAGCAGTGGTGAGCTGGGTCTGGCCCCGACAGATCCGGCACTGCGAGAGATGGAGCAGAAACTGCAGCAAGAGGAAGAGGACCGACAGCTGGCTCTGCAGTTGCAACGCATGTTTGACAATGAGAGGCGGACTGTGAGTCGGCGGAAAGGAAGCGTGGATCAGTATCTCTTACGGTCCAGCAACGTGGCTGGAGCCAAGTAGCACCTAATGAACAGTGTTCCTATTTTTAAGAAGTCTTTGGGCTTGATCATTTATTCTGAAGAGCTGAGTGTTCTCACTTTGGGTTTCTTTTAATGGCAAAACACTGTCTGATATGGTTCTGAAAGGTTCCAGGGCCTTTGCAGTCCATATCTAAGGGAACCGTGTCTCTGCCTCCCTGTGACCCGCACCAGAAGCACTCCTCACCCCTCAAGTGACCCACCCCTGAGGGCTTCTGGGCCAAATCTGGCAGCACCCACTTGGAATGAGATTCAGGAGCACAATCGCCAGAGTTAGAAATGGTAGAGGAAAGAGGGGATACCTTCTCAAACCGACAGACCTCCTGACTTCTTTCAACAGGGTGTGGTTTTAAATCAGTCTTGCAGATAAAAATTAGTTCCATCTTTTTCAAAAGTCGAACAGTGTAGTTCTTTGGCAGATCTAAGAAGATTATGTTCCCCTGTCTCCTTACCCTTACCACAAGTAAATATACCTAATGAAATCAGTTGAGTTTATGCTTCTACGAAAGTTAATTTAGAGTCCCTGTTTAAAAAATATTTGATTAATGCTATATAGTTGACATGTGCAGTCATTGTTTAATTTGGTCTTCCCAGGAGACCTAACATGTAAGTGGTATTAGCTCCATTTTTAGATAGTGAGACTGCCATGCAGATGCTCAAGTTCTCTCAACTACTAAGTGGCATAGCCCAGACTGACTGCTGGGTCTCCCAACAACAAATCCCATGGATTTTCCACACAAACAGGCTGCCATAATGGGCTGCAACCCAAGGGCATGCCAGGGGAGCCTAGGGAAAGGTGGCTGGGCATTGCATACTGATCATGCAGATAATAGATACTAACTAGAAGTATAAAGATAGACTGTGCAGTTATGCCCGCCCCCACAGTTGATAGCCTTCTGTTTTCCTGGAGGGTTCCACTCTGTGAGATAAATTACAATTGGACTTCATTATTACTGTCCACATGGCCAAGGGTTATCTGCAATGTTGATCTAAAATCAAAAAAATTTGCCCAGAAGTCAGGCAAGAACAATGCTGAAACTCCATACTATGGAAACAAGGTATCTAGCTGGATGCAGCTGGTAAATTCAGTCCCATGGACCTTTGGGGTTTATTTTCCTTAGCAGCTGACACCATGTGTCTTTTGCATCCCTGGTGGTGCTTGGTGCTTCTGCCCATCTGGGCTCATTGAGAATAGGGATTAAGATATGATTTTAGGGAATCTCAGACGGGCTGGCATTCCCTGTGCATGTATGAGCTGTTGCTATAAGGTCATGTGACTGGCATTTTAACAAACCTTTCAGAGCTTATATATCCCAATGTATGTTGTTCCCCTTGAATGGTCCCAGCAGGATACTGCATAGTTTTTCCAATGATGTTGCCGTTGGCAAGAACATTTCTGGAACTGTCTTCAAAGTCTAGAAACATCGACTCCTAAAATGTTAGAACTGGAAGGGACCTTAATGGTCATCTATTCTAACCTCCTCTTCTTCCTAAAGCGGAAGCTAAGATCCAGAATACTGACTCACTGATCAAGGTCACTAGGGATTTACTATATCACCTTCTTTTGATTCTTAGGAGATTTGCCCTTCTTCTTCTCTGGGCAAATCTTTAATCTTTTGGGGTTATGGGAAAGAGAATTTTGAGTTTGAAACTAGCCAGAAGCTATTTGAAGCCTCTGGAAGAGAAGGTAGGTTGTCAAGAGGGTTGGAGTCCTAAGTGAGGTGCAGCTGGAAAGCAGTCAGAGCCATTTTCTAGTGCAGCTCATCGGCAGTTCCCAAAGAGAAGTTCCAGAGATGTCGTAAGCATTTTGGTCATCATTGAGATATGTGGAACTTCCTCAGTGACTACTTTGGTGGGGAGTGTCACTCACCTGAATGTGTGTATTCTGTGTTTTGTGTGTCTGTGCGTGTACACGTGCAGATGTATGTTTAAAAGACATACATCAGTCTCATTACTTTATATTGACACCACTTCAGTTCTAGGTCCCACCAGTAACATAGACCCTCCGAAGGCTGCTGGAGGGTGTGCTGGTGCCCAAGATAGAAGAGCTGGCGCTGGTCTGCAGAGGACAGGGAGGGTGACCCACTAAACGCCCTTAGAGAAAACAAGTTACTGCCGTTTCATGTAGTTCCTTTCTGGTTTTAGTAAATATTATTGGAAGGCTAGTCTCAATGGTAATAGCAAAGACACTTATTTTTCCACCTGCCATCTTTTTTTATAGCTCCAATAATTTGAAAAAATACTTTTCAGTTGGAACTGATTTTTGGTTTTGGGAAAAAGAAATATTTTTAATAGAAAAAGATATATATTTTAAATATTTCCCCAAAGTAATACTTTCGTTTTAAGAAATTGCATAGCAGTAGCAACAAATTTTAGCTTCAGGTGCAGAGTAAAAAGCTACTACTTCTTCTTAAGGGAATATTCCAAACGCTGGATCCAGCTGACTGACTTTCCCACTTTGTACCTACTGAGGTGCCTAGAATGGTATTGACAGTTGTTTTCCAAATTTCCAGCTGAGCAGTAGTCCTTCAAATATAGGCCAAGCAGTTAAGTTAAGGAGGGACAAGATTTAATCTTTATTCTGCTTGGCTTTGGAGGAGGAAAAAACCACTAAGGTATTATCTCTATTTTAAGATCCTTCCCATACTTAATAACTAAAACCTGAACACTTTTTCTTTCTGAAAAATTTCCCTCCTGTTTGCTTGATTGTGAAGTTGGTCACAAATGGAGTTGACATGAATTCTTTGGAGAAAAGGAAAGACAAGGAAAATAAAATGATGATGAGGGTTTGTGAGCTAGAATGAGAGATACACTATTTCACGAAACATATTTCTCACCAATCACTGGACTCTGATTCACCATACAAATTTCCCATGTTCTACTAACTCTGTTCCTTGTGTATATGCATTCTGTGTTTTTTCTCATTAAAGGGGAAGTTATGAGAGGTTGGAGGATGGAGGTCTTTCTGATGGGAAGTCCAGGAAATGTGGTGCCCTGAGAAGGGGGCTCTCGGCCCTTTTTCAAGAGTGGGAAAGACACTTTGGGAACACGTTCAGGATCCATTGATTGTATCTGCTGGAAGAAGGCATCTGGGCCTATTGGGTTGGTGTCAAATCATGGCATTATGCATCCAGCCCCTGGCTCCTTTTATATAATTGCCTCTTTTTGAAAGGTTAATTCTTCTTGGCTGAGGCTTCCCAGGAAAACCTTTTGTAGGTGGCTTCATTTATTTTAAAATTTTTAAAAATTTTGCCTGGAGGAAGCACTGGTGATGAATGCCTTCTGTGTTTTTCGTATTCCCTAAAAGAAAAATGCCCTTAAGAGATTAAAGCTGCTTAGTTAATTGCTGTATGATTACAAAATGACAGACTGACTAAAATGGGAAGCTGCCACTGTGCTTAACTGGTGAAGCTGATGACCGAAGGCTGTGCTGTCCGCCCTTTCTGTTCCATTTGACAGACATTTCCTGAGCTTCGAACTGTGCCAACCCTGTGCTGGGTCATGGAGATAGAATGATGGAAAAGACAGTCCCTGCTGAATGTCTAATGGAATGTATTTGAATGTGTGCATGGCTGGAGAGTTTGTTAATGGTCTTATAAAAGGCCGGTTCTTTTATAACGATGATCTTGGATGGTCCCATTCAAGATACTGCCCAGTACCCAGCAGGCTGCCTTGAACATTTTGGATACCCCCATCAATATTTGTGAATTTGATTGCAACACTGCTTTCCATTTGCTAAGTAATTTTACCAGAGGAGAGTGAATTTTTTCCTCCATTGATTACAGGACAATAACATCTCTTCAGGAGCTGCTTTTAGCATAAGCCCCAAGAAATGAGGCAGGTTGTGGATCACTGACATGGTCAGAGGAGGCCCACATCTCAATTTAGTAACCTCCTAACCTCTTCCCCAACCAGACAGACCTCTTACCAGAACTGGCAGCAGCCTGGGATTCCTTTCCTTATTCCTGCCTGGCTTTTCATTCAGCAGGAGAGGAAGGAAAGAAAAACTGAAGGCTTGATCATAATCATAAAATGTTAGAGCTGGAATGGGCATGGAAGTCATCCAAGTCAAACTCTTCCCCCTGCCACCCCTCTTTTCTTTTTTAAGAAACGAGGAACTTGATTGAGTTTCAGTGCCGTGCCCTATTTTATACTGTAGCTTTCTAGGGTCTGAATAAATAGTTCTTTAATTTACACACACACACACACATACATACATACATACATACACACACAATTTGCTAGTGAGGGGGACACCCAAATGATACAGGCTTTTTAACAGCTTTTTCTTCCTGATTTTTTTCAGTTAGAATTAAAATGTACCTATATCCCCTGAACATACACCCAGGTAGGGAAAAGCCTCAGAGTGTGAGTAATGTGAATATGGAATCTTGGAAGTTATATATTTTGATTGTAATAGTCATCATTTTGGCCTGCTTTTTAGAAGTGAGCATGGCTGCTTATAAATTCTGTGACTCAATGAGAAAGCAGGTCTGTTTTTGAAGGGGGTGGATTTGAAGGAAAGAGGCTGCCGAATAGATTTTCCTCCAAAGATGATCCAGAAATGCATCTTTACACGACCGTTGTCCACTGTAGCTTTCTGAAGATTGTTCTGCAGAAAAGAGACTGACAGATATGCAGAGGTCACCAGTTTAGAGACTGGTTAAATTGGATGAAGGAAAAGTGCCAAGACTGAATGTGCACATTGTTCTATGTATTAACAGTATTTTTTTCTTCCTAAGAAAAATATTTACACAGTTTGTGAGTAAATGCTTCCTTAATGTCTTGTCAGCGTGGGAGGCAACCTCAAACTTGGGGCAGGCTCCCTCTAGCTTTCCTGGTGTCTTAAATCAAGAACTAGTGTTCATCTTCCTTTCCTCTCTTAATAAGGGTAAAAACAGGCAGTGCATTCCTCAAAGATCAGGCCCTGTGAGCTCAAGAGTAGCTTTTGGGCCCTGGCTCTAGATGGCAGCAGTCAGATTCTCCCTTCTTGGCCCTGCCCATCCTCCAAGCTGTGCCACCAATGGGAAAAGGCGCTCTTCCTCAGTGGGTTCAACCCTTAGCCTCCAGCAGAACACTTAAAGTCCTAATGAGAGAATGGATAACTATGCAAGGGAAAAATGATTATCTTAAACGCCAGCTAATGGGTTTTTTGTGTGCGTGCCTGATGTTGTTTACTCTGTTCTTTGTACAAACACAGTTGTCCTTAGGGCCTTTTTCCCTCTCACCTAGAAATAGAAAATGGGTTGTATATTCGTTTTATTCAACCTGCTGTCTGTATTAGAATTGGAGAAGGGACCTGGATCCTTGTGGACTGCCACTGCTGGCTGCCTCCCTCTCCGACTCATCATAAAGAACATTTTGACAAAGACAGAGGACTCAGAACAGGGCGTATACCCTGTCAGGGATGCTTCTGCCAACAAGGAGTCAAGTGGGATGATGTGTTGTTTATTTAAACAGTACCAAAGTGCATTCTTCAATGTATGTTTGCCTGCTTGAGGAGAGGCCCAAGTGGAGAATACAGTAAAGCAAACTCATGAAAGTGAACGTTCTGGTTCTAGTCAAAGTCTTATCTCTGGAGAGCAATCTCAGACAAAACCCGGCTAAGCCTAGACTATGTGTGGTTGATTTTTGGTGTTATCTTGGCTCTGGGAGATGCCCCACATTGGAATGTCTTCCTTTGGCATGCAGATATTGGGAGAAATTAGGTGGGATGGGGTGGAAAATGGTGCTATATCTTTTGAGTTCTAAGTTATTTTCAATTTACAACCGCCATTCTCATATTTAACCATTCTTACTCCTAATAAGGCACCAAGAAAGAGTTTGAGTAAAGAACAAATGTACAGGATGACATTGTCCTTGTACATCAAGGCTGTACTCAGAACATCTGATTTTTTAAAATATCCCCTTTTGGAACCATTGCTCAGGAATTCATCAAAATCCCCTTGGCGTCAGTTTCTCATCGAACAGAGAACAAATGTATCCCTGTTCCATCTAAACTTGTAAAATCAATTTGAAAGACTGATGTAAGAGTCCATGCCATGCACAGTAAACCAGCACTTGAAGGACCTTTGAAATCATCTGGCCCAACCTCTTCCAAAGGAGGGTCATTAAAATGATTTGCAAGAAACAATGTAGCTAGTTGGAGATACCAGAACAGAACTCGATTGTCCCTTGGCCCCCAAAAGTAACAGAAAATGCTCTACATACCACTCTTAGTAATTCCCTTATAGCCTAGTGTGGTAAAGGGGGTGGTCCTCGTTTACGGCTGGGAAACTCTGGCCCTGACGTTGCCTGGAAGCTGGGTCCTCTGACTCCAAAGCCACTGATTGCTTTCTCCTGCTGCCCTGGCTCAAATCAGCCTCAGGGTGGTGCCATCCTCCTCCACTGGCCTTGGTAACAGTATGGTTCCAGTTGCTTTCTGGGTTGGATCTCCTCCTAATTGGGTCTGGCAGGGCTAGAGAGATCAGAGTCTTCCCTCTGCACCTACTGTAGGGGTGGGAGGTATCTTGAGGTAGCAAAGACTGTGAGGCACAATCTGCATCTGATGCAGTTTTCTCTCCTGTGGCCACATCTCACTCTCCTCTGGTGCTCAGTGGCATCATGGATAAGTGATTAGAAACACAGGTTGGACCTAATTTGGGAGAATTGGTGGTGGGAGAAACTATTTCTTCTGGTTTTCTCTTGTTAGAAGATTGGAGAAGGCTCAGAAGAGTGTGGCTGCTGGCTTCCCATCTGCTTCTGGAAAAGGAAGGGGGCTCCGGGTGAGAGGCAGCCAGGGTGAAGCATCCTTGTGGTAGACGAGATGTGGGGAGAGTGAGTGAGTATGCTGGCAACAGGGTGGCTACTGCCCCAAAGGCCTCCTTGATTAGTTAGGAATTCATGTTTATCTGATAAATCTAGTTTGAGGCTTTACTCGCTGAGACAAGCACTAGGTAATGTCTCTTCAAAAGTACAAAACTCAGAAAACCAAGCAACTGAAATTTGTTCACTCCAGAGCCCTCAAAGTTTTCTTTTTTAACACCACAAGACCCATAGAGATTGAAAACCCCATTGATGCTATGAGTAGGGTTAAATGACCTGCCCTATGTCATACAGCAAATAAGAGATAGGGTTAAAAATTGCACCCTGGTAATGTGACTAAGTCCGGATGACTCCTGAGATAGAATAGACACAACTGGTAAATGACTCTACGGCTTCCAGAGATGTAGCAATTCACCTGTACGGTGGGGCGGGGGTGGTGAGTGGACGGTGATACCCCACCTCGCATACTTAAAGCAGCAGGCAGGTTGGAGTGCTGTTTTTCTTGATAGGAACACATGGTTTTAATAAGGGGGTGCTCAGGTATTGCCTGTGGGAACATGCCCAGCACTGACTTCTAGTCGCCTTAGCCATAGCTGTGTATAATATGTATAATCTCATTAAGACAGCCGGCATGAGCTAGTTCCCATTCCTCCCAGCACATTCATTCAATAAATGTTGAGTGCCTCCTGGACCTAGACCCTGGGCTGAGCACCAGAGGTATAATCAGTTCTTGGTACATTGCAGTGTGATGCCAAATGAGGTCATACAGGGTTGCAAAGAAGAAAAGCCCAGTTCAGTTTGGGAGGGGAGTTCAAGGACATCCCTGACCTAAGGCTGAAAGGATGACTAAGAAACATTAGCTCCCATATGGTCTTACGTAGGGCTTCCTAGGCGAGTAGCAGAGTTGCTGGGTAGCCTCCTAGTGGCTTCCTTCCTGGGAGTTCTACACTGACATGATTTAGCTATACGTGCGGGCAAAGGGGTCAGAGCTCTGTACACTCACTCTGTAAACAGCCTCCAAGATGGGGAAGTTAACAATCGAGAAAGTAGAATGAGCCTGGCAGCCTGGAACGCCAGGCTGAGACTAAGATGATGAAATGTAAAAATCCTGCATCAGGTACCAAAGGTGAATTTAAGCATAAAACAGGGAAAGCAACTCTGATATTAGTAGTCTGCTGATAAAGGATCAATAAAGCCAAAAGAGTAATGCCATTGTTTTAAACAGTGAGCAAAAGGCAAATAAAATGTGAGGCTGTATAAAACAATGTATCCAGAGAAGGGAGTGGCAATGCTGCTGTGCCCTGCACTGGATACAGCTGGAGTACTGCATCTAGCTATCATGAGTAGGGGAGAAAACCACAAACTTAGCAAGGCCAGGAGAGGCAACCAATTTATTCAGATGGATCCTATGTAGAATAACTTAAGAGTATTTGGCCTGAAGTGTAGCCACTTGAGATGGTCTCACACTAGTGAAGGGTTGGCCTGGCTGCGCAGAGAGCAGATATACTCTTGGCCAGAAAGCAGAGCTAGGATTACTGAGGGGCTTAGGGAGACAGCTTAGCCCAAAGGCTGGAACTGTCCGATGGCTTTCCCAACAAAGGAAGGGATGGCCTTTCGAGGGAATGAGCTCCCTGTCCCTGGATGTGCAGGCAGGAGCTGAGTGGTTTGCAGGAGAGACTGCAAGAGGCTTCCTGCTTTGAGATTGGAATAGCATGTTCCCAGAAGCCTTCCAGGCCTGAGAGCCTATGGTTTGGTGGTGTTTCTGGCTGAAGGCAGCAGTCCAGTTCTCCAGAACTAGAACCTAGTGAGGTTTACAGTGTGACTGTTGGGGTGGATTCTCGTTCCTAATGTTAAGAGAAGGGTGGTTTTGGGCCTCAGAAGATCCAAGGGGGTGAATCAGAATGTGCCCCTGTGCATGAGTGTCACTGTGGGTAACACTTTCTTACCTGGATCCTTCCAGGTGCCTGTGTGAATGAGTGAGATTAACTGTGGAACTTGATATGTGTGACTGTACGAGTGTCAATGTGTGTGTCTGGTATGACCACAACTGGGTGTAAATATTTTCTGGCCAGATGTGTGAGACTGTGTGGTTGCATACAACAGTATGCAGATATTTCTGAGTCCTAACAGAGCCTCACTTGCAATACGGCAGATACTCCACTGCGCTTCCCGTCAGACCTGTGGCTACAAGACTATGCTTCTATACTCACCTTAATTGCAACTTAGGCTGTGGGAGTCTGTGCCTTGCTGAGGATCCTTAAGCCTTGTGCTACTGCTTCCTGGACCCTGGGAACTGCAGGCCTGCTGCCCAGGTCTGAATTGTAGGCACTCCCTGGAGAGTAGCCTTAGGAGCAGGGGTTGCCCAAGTGAGCAGGCCACACCCAGCATCCAGCCCCAAATGCACATCTCCTGATTCTGCCCTAGTGGCCTCCAGATCCTCCTCTGTAGCAGGCACTGACTGCTGGGTACTCACAAGAATGAGGCAAGCCACAGGCTGCCTTGGCCAGAATTAGTTTACTTACTGTGAGCCAGGGCTGACCTTGCCCAGGGTCCGTTATAGAGCCACAGCCCACCATGTCTGCATGTGGGACTTTGTCTTACGTCCTGAATTAGAGGACATTGGGAAACTCCACATAAGCCCTCCCCTCAGCTTGTCCCACCTTTGTGGCCACAGCCATCTGATAGGGGAATTCCAAATCTTCTCTTCCCCTTTGCCCCCTATTTGCCCTCAAAATGGAAAAAGCTGCCCAACAGAAAAAGCACCATTTCTGGAGCCTGGAGGCCTTAGTTTTGTTCCCCCCAACCTCACCCCAACACACACACACTTTATTGGCTGTGGGCGAGTTAATTAACGTCTCTGAGCTTAGATTCTGTGCTGCTTCTCTGTTCCATCAGCCCCGTTTTCTGTCCTAGTGCCTATCACAGCACTGCTGGACATGTGTGGCTTGGGCAGGTTTCCCACAGGACTTTAGGGATGCGCATCAGCCGGGGATCTATCCCCAGTGTGACAGCCCGGCCCAGGCTCCAAGAAAGAATGCAGGCTACCTTGTTCTATGCACCCACTCTTTATTGCTGCTGTGCCAGGCGCCGGGTCCTGCCCGGACCAGGGAGGGGAGGTCCTGACGAGCTCCCAATTCTGTGTGGCCAGTGAGCAAGGCCAAGCCAAACTCAGAGGCCCAGCTCCAAGGTTCGGTGGAGGGCGAAGAGCCCTCTGGGAGGGCGTGGGGCCCACGCTGGGCGGTGCGCATGGCCCCGTGCATAGCCCTAGCCTTTCGAGTCACCTGCCGTGGGCTCCTGGCAGAACTCATCCATGATCTCGAGGAAGCGGCCGAACTTAGGCTGGCCCTCGCTCAGTGCCGGGTGGGCAGGGGGTGGCGCAGTGGCCCTGAACACCGTCCGTAGCGAGCAGCGTACCAGCCTCCGGTAGCGCAACCGAAACTCCTTCAGCAGCCGCTTGGCCTCCAGGTACTGCTTCTGGTTCACCAGACGCTGCTCCGTCCGCTGCTGCAGGACAGCTCCTGCAGGGAGAGAAGCCAGGAGGGGAACCAAGCTCGCCCTGGGTCCCACCTAGCCCAAAACAGCAGGGACTGGGTCCAGAGCCCCCAGAAAGTGGGATGCGGTGGGAGGAGGATGTTAAGGGGACTTAAAATTGCCTCTCCAGCTTGGGGCATTAGGAAGCCAGCGATGTCCCCTCTTGATTCTATCTCAAGCCTTAGTTCATAGGTCTATAACATGCCATGTGA